ACCTACCTACCTACCTACCTACCTACCTACCTACCTACCTACCTACCTACCTACCTACCTACCTACCTACCTAGATATTCCAGTATAGATGGACTTTACTAACCAAAAAAGCTCTAAAAATGGTGCATTAAAGGTTGAAACTAAGAAGCGTTTTACCATATGAGAAGTTAACTGTCCTTCTCCTATTTTAGGTATAGAACTCAGTGTTGATTATTTGCATAAGTTTCAATTCATCTGTAAAAAACCAAACCACAGCATAGTTCCATGTAAAAGAAGGTTTGGTTAAAGAGAATTCGTATGTTCTATGCGTGTTTTTTTTTTTTTTTTTAAGTATATTTTTTGCTTGAGGAAAAAGGGTTCTCAGTGTTAATGAAGTTGCTACATCTCTAAATGTTTTTTGTGCACTGATTGCTTTTCCCCCCCACTTTGGGAATGGATAAGTGTTAACAAGGCCTGTAGGTAGGGAAATAAAAGCTCCTCAACTTGACTAAAGTAGTTATAGTTTATTGATTCTTCCACAACTATTTTACTGATTACCTTTTCCTTCTAGTGTGGCTTAAATTATAGTTTGGCATTAGTCAGTACTAACCAAAGAGGACACGTCTTACATGGTTCTTCGTTATCCCATCCAGGATGTTCATATTCCCAGCGCTCGAAACACTTTATGTACAACTAAAAAGAGGAAGCATCAAAACTGAAAGTTATAGAATCCAAACCAAAGCTTTCTGACATTTAATAATGTTTTTTTTTAGACATAACCTTTTTTATTTTTCAAATATTTTGTTACAATTCTGAAAGTTTTGTACACAATTACCTAAAAAGGTTTCATTGTAATTCCCAAAGTTTCAACCAAACTTAATTCTTTTGATTAAGATTGGTTTGTGTTTGAATGAATAATATTGAGACTATAAAAAAAGTGCTTATAAAAAAAGGTCAACATTTCTTGTCTTTTCGGGGAACTGAAGAATTCGTCCACTGGAAGTGTGATTAAAACGATGATGAGAGATTTGCTCATCTTAGATATTTAAGAAACAATTCAAAATGAAAAAAAAACTTAGCTAAAAAAGCTCTATGAAAGAGGTAGAAGGCATCTGATAAGTTTTTCACTGTTTTCTCAATTTAAAAAGGACCTTTGTACCATACAATTTTATGTCTGTGGATGTTGTCAACTGTATTAATCCGCCTCATCAGCTGATCCATCCCTGCCAGCTTATAATGAGTCTCCTGGGATAATTTCCAAAGAGCTGTTGGTAGATTTAGAGCAGACTGACAGCTCTCAACCGGCCAGGTGGATTGATACAGTCGCCAGTATATTAGAACTGATGATGATTGGCACAGAAAAAAGCAACATACTTTAACATTTTCAGCTCTGACCCTTGAGATGTGCCACCATAGTGCTTTATACCACTGATATTAGCTGTTTCAAATCAAATAATTTTCAATTGGAAAAATTTTAAGAGTATTTATGTTTGGATAACATCATTTAAATATTTGCTTTTCACCGTTGCTGATAAATTCCCACAACCTATTAAGGTAAATTTGTTAAATATATTGCTGACATATCTATATCCATTTTACTTATAAGTTAAATTATGAATTTAGATACACTTCTCATAAGATGCAACCTTTGTTCTTTTTACCTGCAGAAATGGACTTAAAAATGCTGAAAAAAAATGCTAAAGAGATGGTTTGCTTTTAAGAAGCTGGTTGGCTAAAATTGTAAATGTAAAAAGTTATCTTTGATAAGAATGGACATTCACCCCTTGCTTTTTATTTTTTTCAGCATGCATTTGGATCTAAACTTTTCCAACATGTCCATAAATTCTATGGCTGGGAAGGCGGAGCAGGGCCCCACTGAGTACCGCATTGCCGGCGTGGTCTTTTACAGCTTTGTCTTCGTCATAGGAGTCATTGTTAACCTCACCGCCTTGTGGGTGTTTGCCTTGACCACCAAGAAGAGAAACTCAGTCACCATCTACATGATAAATGTTGCCCTCGTGGATCTCACCTACATTCTGCTCCTGCCCTTCAGGATGGTTTACCTCCATCAAGACTATTGGCCCTTTGGAGACATGTTCTGCAGGATAACAGCAGCTCTAACCATCTTTTACCCGTGCATGGCTCTGTGGTTGTTGGCTCTGATCAGTACTGACCGCTACATGGCCATTGTTCAGCCCAAGCATGGCAAGGAGCTGAGAAATGTCCCAAAAGCTGTAGTGGGCAGTTTGGGGGTGTGGGTCATGACTTTAGGCAGCAGCGTACCACTGCTATTCTCTCAGGAAGATCCTGATCAGATCTCCAACTACACTACTTGCATCAAGATGCAAGACATCATTTACATGCGCCGTGAGAACGCTGTCAACTTCGTCAGACTCATTTTCTTCTTTCTGGTCCCCATATGTATCATGATTGGCTGCTATATAGTCATTGTGGACAATCTAATTCACGGACGCACCTCTAAACTTAAACCAAAAGTGAAGGAAAAGTCCATACGGATCATCATCACGCTCATCGTGCAGGTGCTGGTGTGCTTCGTGCCTTTCCATATCTGTTTGGTGCTTCGCCTGCTGGGGAACGGCCATGACGGCGGGTTCAACACATGGGCCGTCTTCACCACTTTCCTGATGAATCTAAGCACAGTCTTGGACATCATCTTGTATTACATTGTCTCAAAGCAGTTTCAGGACAGGGTGATCAGTGTGGTTTTGTACAGGAACTACCTGCGTAGCGTCAGGCGAAAAAGCCGGCACACACACACAGGAAGTGTCAGGTCGCTGAGCAACCTAACCAGCGCAATGATATGAAACTTCATGGCACAGATACTGTTCCAAGAATATGCACGCTGAATGCATCACTGTGTACTGTTCATGTATAATTACCTGAAGGATCAAGAAACTGCAATTAATTTTCCAAGTGCAATTTACACTCACAGTATGGGAGTGCTGCTGTTGTGGCGAAAACATCTGTGTTCAGAGCTGATTGACTCACCCATGAGACTTGAGTTGTTTTGCCGTTCCTTTTATTTTTCTTCTCTGATATAGAAAGCTTCTGCGGCTCAGGTGTGATGCGTGCAGGTTCAAATATAAGTGTTTTAAAACAGAACATGAAGTAATTCAGCACAAGCATCGAAACCTTAACAAAGAAGAATAAAGGGGTCTTAGATGCTCCATAGGAAGAAAGTGTGGGTTGTTAAAGGTTGATGTTTGGTTGCTGCACCACATTTAAAAGGTCATTTCTCTTCAGCAACTTAGCTCTGTGAGGGCGGAGTGAGCAAATCTAGCCATGAGTGATGCATGATGTCATCCTTCTGCTTTTCAAATACACCACATGTGTTTGACTTCTGCCATTTCATGTTTGTTGAGTTTAGGACCGACCACTTCAGACAGGATGCAATTTCTGCTAAAACTGACAGTAAAGGTTGTTTCAAAGGTTGCTTTAAATGAATCGACCAGGTGATGGCAGCATGGCACAGCTTAGACTCTGTAGGCTTGTCAAAGCTCCACACATACAGAGCTTTTAAAAACTTTACCAAAGTTGAGATCCAAATAATCTTATCTCTGGTACTTTGATTAAAATATTTCTTATACTCATATTCATAAAAGTAAAAGTGAACCTTATTTTTACAGTTAACCACAGTCATAACAGCTTCCTCAACCAGGAATCTGACTAAAGCGTGTTTATGGTGCAATGTGAAAAGTATTGATTAGGTGTTAAATGATTTAGTTGCTTGGAGTGCATTTACAGTAACATGCTCGAGAGATGTCAGAGAGGCTATTTACAAGATTTACTGCAACCTTAACCTTTAAACAGAAAACCTTTTTCAGCTCAGGGACGTTTCAGGTTTCTGTACCAGGTAAAACACCCATTTTATTCTATATGTCTTTCTAAACAAAAAGTAATTAAGTCAAATCCAAACCCTGGAGCATTAGAGGAGGCTTAAAGAAGTACAAAGGGAACATTTATAAATACTAAGATATATTGAAATCTACATCAGAAATTTAAAGAGTTAATCTACGTTGATCTTCCCAAAATATGTTAAAAAGAAATATCTAGTTGAACATATTTTGGAGTAAACTGTTGGAATAAAAAGAGACTAATACTCATTTTCTAAATTTACAAATTCTTAGTTATAACAAAAGCCCACGTAATCCTACTAAATGACTGATGCCTTATTTACTTACGGTATTATAAGGAACTCTTAGTGAATATGGTATTCAAAACTTGTAAGTATTCTATTGTTTTAGAAAATGAGATGGAAATTCAAATCAGTTCCCTTTCGATTACTGGTCTGAAAACATATTATTTCTTGCTTTGACCGTTTCTCACTTTCTGCCAATAAATTACCTTATAATAAATTGATTTCAGAAAACGGTACTGGATAAAAAAAAAAAAAAAGAAAGACCACACATCCAAAACAATGCTTTACTATTAAAAGAGATAGAAAAGAAAGATATATATAAAAAAAACACCCAACAAAAAAAATAAAATATAGAAAATAATAAATCACAAAAATCCAGAAAATTGTAATTTCCCAAAATCTGTTAAATGGTAAACACTAATCTGAACGGCATAAAAGAACTTCAAACAGAACAAATAATGGCTCCAGGTTATTTTTTACCTCCCCTTGTACCCATGTGTTTCTATTGACAGAATATGTTCTTTCTATTACATATTTGCTCTTTTTTTGTTATTAAAGGGATGGTATCCTGTGTTTTTAAATGAAGCTGTGTGAACATTTTTCTCTGTACCTTTTTCTAACCTGTAATAGACAGCTGCCATGAAGCACTTAGCTTGTAGAACAGTAAATAACTCCTGGAAGTAGTAGGGGAGGCTAACAGCTAGTCAGGAAGAACAAGCTACACTAGTGGTTATAAAATGTCAACATGTGAATAATTAAGTATTTTAGTGTATGGGTTTAACATTTTTTAAGTATAAGTTGTATGTACCTCAAAAAAGGCGGTCCTGTGACTTGCTGTTAACCTTCCATGGCCCTGAACATTATTTTTGCTTTTTATTAACTCACTTCAATCTTTCTGTCAAACCCAAAGAAGCTATTACTGATAATAACTTTACAGAACAACTATCTCTTTTAGGCATTTGTTGTAATAAGACAGTGGTTTATACTGATAAATATGTGTGAATTTGGTCTAATTTATTTTCTCCCTCTGCGATGACAGAACAGACCGGTTGATTTTTAGAATAGAGAAAATTTTTACTTTGCAATCTACAAGTATTATCAAATATTATTTTGTGAATTGTTTATCAATCTCTTCAAATTAGGAAATGTCCATGTATTTTTTTGATTATTGTTCTTTTAAACTATTTAGTAAAGTTTCAATGAGGATGATATCACCAATAATGCTCTGGTTATTTATCTCACAACATTCAATTGGGGAACATATGTGGCTGAGGGGTGTAAATCAAACGCAAATACATAAATAATGCTCACACAAATACACAAAACTATGATGACAAGGAGAGTCACTAAAAAAGCAATATAACCATTTAAAATGAGACATTAAAATAATAAATTAGAAACACAGTTTTAAATGTGTTGCACATTTTAGATTAAATAATTAAAGTGGAATTGTAAATTGAATATATTAAATCTTATATATCCCAACAGAGGTTTAAAAACCATCCATCCATCTATCCATCCATCCATCCATCCATCCATCCATCCATCCATCCATCCATCCATCCATCCATCCATCCATCCATCCATCCATCAGGGTCACAATGAGGTTGGTGCCTACCACTAACAGTTTATGGGCGAAAGGCGGGAACACACTGGACAGTTCGCCTGTCTGTCACAGAGATCTAAAAACTTCCAATTCATATATACCTATATATAACCTAATTAATTTTCCATTTCAATTATATTTTTTATCTTGCATTTAAAAACCTTTTAGCAGTTGCATTTTCTTTTTACTTTACCCTCTTTATTCAGCATTTCCATGACACTTTTGGTCTCTAAGGACACAGAAAAACAAGTTTTACCAACGCAGTTTCTCCTCGGATGTAACCAGCTCTCTCATTGGTTAGACAGCCAAACCTGAATCACAACATGACGACCCCCATTGGAAGTTCTGATTAGAGCTAGGTGATAACTGTATCTACTAACTAAACATGGAATAGTTCACACCTAAGTTAAAGCATGACATCCAGTAAAAATAAATACAGAACAATTTTAGCATGTGTAAAGTACCTTCTACCGTCATGTTGAGATCACTGATGGCTGTCTTACTTACTAATGACAGATGTTTATCTCTAAGAGAAACTGTGATGGCATAGTTTTCAGGGCTTTTTCCTCTCATCTGTGTCCATGAGGAAAATCTCCACTCTGTCTGGCTACTGGGAGTTACCCAGGGTGCTGTTGCTACAGGGCAGAGTGGAAATGGAGTACAAGAGTGGGCTTAACAGCTGATTAATGCGCACCATAGTCATGAAATCAATTGTAAGGGATTTCAGTTTCATTCAGTTTAACAACTAAATGTATCAATTTTAAATGAAAATTTACTAAATGAAAATTTGATCAAATAAAATATTGATTTAATTGCATCATCATCATCATCATCATCATCATCATCATCATCATCATCATCATCATCATCATCATCATCATCATCATCAAAAAAAAATTCTTAAAAACAAACTGTCCCAGACAAATCAATGTACCTTGTTCATGAAGTATGTAACCAACATACCCGTCAGCAGGGGCAGAAATCTTACAAATTTCCTAAGCATTAGAAAAAAAAAACTGATTGCAGTGATTGCCTCTAACTATTGCTCAATAAAACTTCAGTTCAGGGCAATAAGGAGACAGGCCAGTACACCAGGAGATGAGAAGGAGGCCATAGGAGTGCAAAAACCCAGTAGTTAGATCGCTACCTCCATCTTTGTGCAAGAAGGAATAGGAAAAGCACTGCCACAGCCCTACAAAATCCCATTCAGCAGGCCAAAAATGTGCATTTGTCTGCAACGGTTAGAAACCGACAGTGGTGAAAAGTAAGTACATTTACTTGATTTCTTTACATAAATACTTTTTTTGAGTACATTAAATACTCAAAAAAACAATATTAGAAAATCTAATTTGTACTTTTGAATACTTAAGTACTTTAAAATACATGTACTTTTGAATACTTAAGTATTTTAAAAAGTGAGTCTTCAGTACTCAATACCTGAGTAGATTATTGACAATACTTTTACTTGTCCTTGAATAAGATTCCACTATAAATATAAATTCTCTTCCTCAAGTACTACTCTTGAGTACTTTGTCCTCCACTTGAAACCGACTCCTAGAGGATGGTATGAGGGCCCTGACATCCACTGTTGGGGGTTTAACATCATGCAGGAACCTTGGCTTTTGCAAGATGTTGGGCTATGAGTAAGACATCATGCAGGATGCTTGGCTTTTGCCAGAGAACACCAGGATAGGCAAATTCACTAGTGGCATCCCGTTTTCTTCACAGATGAAAGGTTCACACTGAGGGCATGTGACAGACATGACAGAGTCTGAAGACACCGTGAAGAGTGTACTGCTACCCGCATTATCCTTTAGTATGACCGGTTTGGCAGTGGGTCAGTAATGGTGTCATTTCTTTGGAGGGGTGTACAGCCCTCCATGTGCTGGCCACAGGGTAGCATGACTGTCATTGCGTATTGAGATGAGATCAAAAGGCTCCTTGTGAGACCATATGCTTGGCCCTGTGTTCCTCCTAATGCAGGACAATGCTAGACCTCATGTGAATGGAGTGTGTCAGCAGTTCAGCAAAGATGACGGCATTGAAGCTACGGACCGGCCTGCCCATTCCTCCAGACATTAATTCATTCAGGGACATCATGTCTCAATTCATCCACCAATGTCACATTGCATTACAAACTGTGGAAGAGTTGGTGGATGCTTCATCATTGAGACCACCCACCACCTTATCAGCAGCATACCCAGGGACGTTAAGGATGCTATATCAGAGTTGAATCAGGCTGTAGAATGTTCTTCCACTTCAATTTTTTGTGTCAATGAATTTTTTGTGTCAATGAATTTTTTCATTGACACAATGGTGGTGGGGCTGATTACAGCGGGAAACGAGGTGGCCTACAGAGATGAGGTCCTGAAACTTGGCGAGTGGTGTGGATCAAACAACCTGGTACTAAACATCAACAAGACTAAGGAACTCATTCTGAACTTCAGACGGAAGAAAGCTGCACCTGCCTCCCTGTACATCAATAGTGGATGTGTAGAATGAGGGGAGTCCTTCAAATTCCGCGGCATCCACATCTCTGCAGACCTCTCCTGATCGGCCAACACCACAGCTTTGGTCAAGAAGGCCCAGCAGCGGCTACACTTCCTGAGAGTGCTCAGGAAGGAACAACTAAAAACTCAGCTGCTGGTGACCTTCTATCGCTCCACCATCATTGACCTACGCTGGGACAGTGTGGTACTCCAGCTGCACGGAGGCCGAAAAGAAGCGACTGCAGAGGGTGACAAACACTGCACATAAAATTATCGGCTGCCCTCTTTGACTGCCATCTACAACTCTGGTTGTCTCAGCAGGGCGAGAAACATCCTGAGGGATACCACCCACCCCGGCTTCCATCTCTTCAACCTGTTTCCCTCAGCCATGCGCTTCAGGTCAATACGGACCAGAACAAACAGACTCAGGGATAGCCTCTTCCCCAAAGCTGTCACCATACTCAATCTACATTCAGACTTGCACTAATGTATTTTATCTGTTATTTATGTTTTCACTTTACAGAGCTGCTCTCCAAATCTCATTGTACTGTGTACAATGACAATAAAAGGCGTTCAACTTTTTCAACTTCAGACAGATAGATAGATCTGTCTATTAGATAGATCTATCAGTGGCACTTTAAGTTAGTCCTAAAAGCATGTTTGAAGGAATTCATGGCCTCTCCAAAAGAAAAAAAGTACAAACGCAAGAACTGTGAAGCACCATGCAACTATTGTTAAATGTATAGGACCAGGGTTTAACGGGGAATTGCTCTCAATTTAAGGAGCCATCATCTGAAAATCTGACTTTTTTATATTAAAAATATGATGGGGTTCAGTTTTAACTAACTGATTATCAGAGATGGGAAGTAACGAAGTACAAATACTCCGTTACTGTACTCAAGTAGATTTTTCTGATATTTTTACTTTACTTTACTACTTATTTTTATGGCGACTTTTTACTTCTACTCCTTACATTTTTACACAAATATCTGTACTTTCTACTCCTTACATTTTAAAAAACTGGCTCGTTACTTTAGTTTTGAATCATTTCAATGGAGTTACCATTATTATTTTTCACGTCATCAATACCAAATTCAATCTAATTGGATGGGAATCTACGTTGCATTTG